CTCATGGACACAACTCCTTTGGAGTCACTTGACACCTTCCACAACCACATGCACCATGCACTCGTGCTTACGCCGTCAAGTGTCATGTTACCTGCGAGCTCTGCTCCTACTTTGGCTCCTATGGAACCATTGTTTGTCTATGCTTTGCTTTCCGACCGTGCCAACAACAACGACCCCAAAGACTGGCGTGATGCCATGTGCCGCCCCGACCGCGACAAATGGCTTCTAGCCGCCAAGTCCGAATACGAGTCTTTACTCTATAACGGCACTTATGTGCTCATCAAACGTCGTCATGATGAAACGGTTCTACCGTGTCGATGGGTCTTTCGACTCAAAGCCGATGACACTTACAAGGCCCGACTTGTCGTCAAAGGGTTCATGCAACAAAAAGATATCGACTACACGGACATTTTTGCTCCTGTTGTTCGACTTGAAGTCCTACGCTTTCTGTTTGCCTTAGTGGTCATCCATGATTTGGAATGCGAACAAATGGACGTCAAAACCGCCTTTCTAAATGGCAAACTCGACTGCGTTATACGCATGGAGCAGCCTCCTGGCTCACTCATTGACCCTGCCTCTAGGCGAGACTATGTCTGCCTCCTTCAAAAGAGTCTTTATGGACTTAAACAAGCCCCTCACCTATGGTACTGGGCTTTTGTCACTTATATGGATGGCTTCCTTGGGCTTAGCCCGCCTTTACAAAGACCGCTGCGTCTTTTCAAAGCCCGAGATGATGGTTTTACCATCGTTAGTCTCTATGTAGACGATCTTTTGATCATTACTCCTACCAAGGCTCTTGCTGCCGCTCTCAAGGAGTCACTATCACTACGCTTCCAGATGAAGGACTTAGGTCCTGTACGAGATATTCTCGGCTGCGAAATTGTCCGTGACCGTTCCAAACGAACTCTGTTCATTCACCAATCACGTTACTGTTCTACAGTACTTGATCGCTTTGACATGTCAACGTCCAAGCCCGTCGCCACTCCTTTTGAGTGCACCACGCCTTTATCCAAGGCTCAGTGTGCTAGTTCACCTGACGACATTGCATTTATGCAAACCAAACCGTATCGGTCAATAGTTGGCAGTATTATGTACTTAGCCACGGGCTCTCGCCCAGACTTGGCTTATGCCCTTCAACAACTCTCGCAGGTTCTGCACAACCCGGGTCTTGCCCATTGGCGTTCTGCCAAACGCGTTCTACGCTACCTCCAAGGCACTTCCAATCTTGGACTTATGTTAGGCGGCCGAGACTATGTCTCCAAGCCGTTTCTATCCGCTTATGTGGATGCAAACTATGCTATGTGCCACTGACACAGCGTCGAGTATCGGGATACTCGACGCTGTGTCAGTGGATTTTTTACCCTATTTTTCAACAGCCTTATTTCATGGCTTTCGAAGAAACAAGGTATCGTGACTCTGTCAACGACCGAGGCCGAGTTTGTGGCTCTTGCCCTTTGCATCCAAGAATGTTTATACGTTCGCCAACTCGCTGCCGAATTACATCACACTAGTGATCAACCGATTTCGGTTCATGAGGACAATCAGTCTGCTATGAGCATCGCCCAAAATGCTGAGCATCATGGGCGCTCCAAGCACATTGATGTGCGTTTTATGTTTGTTCGCGATCTCGTTGAGAACAAGGAGTTTATTCTCCATTATTGTCATACCAAAGAACAACTTGCGGACTTCTTTACGAAGGCGCACCCGGAACCTGCGTTTCGCAGGTTCTGCCTCGCTCTGCGACTCTATGCCCTTGATGACTACCTTTGTGGCCGTGTACCCCAGTGACCCTTGCCTATGGCATTGCGTTTACTTTATTTTTTAAGGCTTTATGGCTGTTATTGATATTTATCATGCATTATTTGCACATGCTTTCTAAGCAAACACTTTTCATTCTCCGCCTTCATTTTCGCTCTCAACCATGTGACGACTTGTGCACTCTATGTCTGCTCGTGTCATTTTGAAGTCGGCGGTCCCGTCTGGCCCGCGGCGCTGCTCAAGGTTCGGCCGTACGAGTGGCGTCATGGTTTGTACAAGTTCCTACATGGTGCTCCCACGCCCCCTCGTCCATCCTACTTGCACTTCCTGGGTTTATACCACTACTCTATGAGTCTTACTTGTACTTTTACTTCTGGCAATTTTACTTGGGTGTACCCCTACTCTCTGAGTATTACTTTGTACTTTTGCTTCGGGCAATTTTACTTGGGTTTTTACCCGCTACTTTTAGCCACACTTTCTTATTCTTCGTTGCATATATGCACTTTATGGTATTTCCCTTGCTCTTTGAGCACCCTTGCATTTATGTATTCCCTTAAGCTTTTGCCTTACTCTATGAGTAACCATGCACCTATGTGCCCAACACTATTTTTTTGTGTGTTCCTGTCCTACCTTCTTTGCCTCTGTTATCAGGGTGGCTTTTGTAGTGACATGCCTTTGGCATTTTTTCGCCTCCGCGAATTTTTCGCTAAGGTCATCCGGAATTATCCGGTGTTCTTTCTCTGTAGAAGCCGGACTGTTTATGCCCAATCATAGGTCAGCTAAACAGTCCGTTAATGATCATCTTTGGTTTTGCCCTCGACCACACAAGTGTTCTCGTCGTCGTCCCTTCTCAGTGCTACCCCCTATATCGTCCCTCTTGACACAGACTACATGGAGACGAGATGATGTTGTTCGACACAGAACATTTCGAAGTCAAATACATTTGATTACTTCTTAGCTTTTTTAGCTGCCGGTCCTTTCTTCGAGGATGGACGCGTGCTCCGGCGGTTTGCTGGGATGTCCGCTGGCTCTACAATGGTTTCGGTAGACGGCTCCTTCAGAGAAGAAATTAGAGTTTCCAACTCTGGAATATCCTCGCCAAGGCGACGGGCTACACGAAGAAGAATCAGAAACGAGACCTGTGCAACAAAGTTGTGTTCCACAAGCACTTGGAGTCGGCCAATGTCCTCACCAAGTGGGACATCGGAAGGACGAGGAGGTTCTGGGGCCACAACGGGAGCGAGCGGCGGCGTGTCAATTTTTAGGCCATAAAGGGTACGGCCATGGCGAGGCCATACAGTACCAAGCCATGTACCGTTTGTACATGGGCCTTGAATCCCGTCGTTCGAGTGGCAGAACGCCTTGTCACAAGTGACATCGTCGGTGATGTTGCAAGTCCATTTCCGCATGTAGTTCGAGCGCTGGGAGAGAGCAGCCATTTTCGATTTGTTGGCTATGTTCGATCTGACCATCCGGATAATTTATCCGAAATATCTGTGTAACCAATAATTCAAAACTGCACACTATTTGCAATCGGCCCACGTAAAGTTGTTTTAAACAGCTATATATGCCTATATAGCGTCACCGTGTCGAGAGTGGTAGCGGCAGACTTCGCTGCCGCTACCACTCTCGACAACGGGCGAGTGCATCTCGATCGTGTGCTGCAGCTGCTGCTGACGACATCGTAGACCAAGGTTCGTCGCAATGTGGCACCACCGGCCATCGTGACTGCCATTGAGTGTGTTCCTTTCACTATAGGAACACCGTCAATGGCAGCCACGATGGCCGGTGTGTTCCTATCAATATAGGAACACACTGCCAGACAACGGGCGGGCGATGTGACTGTTGTGGATGCTGGTGTGTCGCTTGCCGACGCTGTTGCGTTTGCGGGTCCACGAGCACTCCGATGAACTCGTACAATGAGCAGCAATGCATGCTATTTGCTCTTTATAAGCGACTTGAACGCCGCCGCACTGGTGATACAGTACTAGTATACAACTATCACGGCAGCCATTTTATATGACAAAAAGTGTTTGCAACTTACATTTAAGTGTAAAGTACGTAGGTGTTGTAGTACTACAAGTTTAAAGTTAGCTTAGTCGTGGTAGTTATGTGTAACGTGACCAGTACGCTATGAAGGTGGAGTCCAGAAACTTGAATTTCTACAGATTGGACCAACTGACCTTGTCTAGCAACGCGTGGCACTCCTTGCAATGCCAATGTCGGTAATTTGCGACCGCGTCCTTGTCCGTATGCACTTCACTCACTCCGCAAATCTAAACTCCTGAAACTAAATACTGTATAAATTAATAGAGGAGTTCGTAAATAAGTCGTAAAGTGTCCAATACAGGTGAGTATATTTCTATTGGAAGTAATTTTGTGCGAGATGTCGTGACATGTTCAATGACTATGATTCTCGTATATCCAGTCATTTCGCACCAAGATACAGATATATATGATACTGTATATACGAACTTCAATATCCGCAATTGCACAGATAGTCATTGAACACGTCCTAAGATATACTAGTATTGTATTACTTCGAAGTATAAATTTGTTCTCACGGATAAAATATCTTGTTATTTGTAGAGTAATATTTTGGATGTACGTTTGGTGTTGAATAACACGAACTCGTAGGAGCAGCACTCCTGAACCAATCAGAATGACTAAAAATGGAATTTTTTGAATCACTGAAAATGGAATTTTGGGGGCAACTTTTACTGTAACACCTACTTGGATCTAAACCTTTGCATATGGCTAATTCTACTACAAATCGGGACGCAATGTTACTGCACGTATACATTATCACTGTACTACAGTACAGTGCCGTATGTACTGAATATTCAACTGGACGCATCTTGAAGGATTATAATGACGCATTTTGAATGTTACTTCACTTGATTAATGTATATCTACTGAACATATACTATGTAATGTACTACTACTCTGTTCTGGGAAAAGAGTCCCATTTGACTTTCGATTGGCGGAATTTTTCTAGTTTTCACTTTCCTTCGAATCTAATTGGCTTTCCAAACGGCGCGTTTTCTCCTCTTTGATTGGTTCTTTTTAGCGAGTTCTAGTTCGCTTTTGCTCAAAAGTTATGACACAAAGAAAATCCTACACAAACTCTCTGCACACATATTGACCCGCTGAGATCTCAAAACTCATTTTCACACTCCGCAACAATCGCATAAGTTGTTGGCGACAGCTCCGTTCATCCTACTTTCTCCTCACCGGGTGCCATGGAAGGCCGCATCACCCCTTACGGCAAACGCAAGCTCTCCGACACGACCCGCCGCGCAATCTACGATATGCTGCTTGAGATCAGTGCGGCAGGAAAGTTGACCCATGGGTCATGCAAGAAGGTCGCCGGCATGTTCAAATGCCACTGGAAGACCGTCTCTCGCGTGTGGCATCGAGGCCGCGACTCACTTCGGCAAGGCAGCGCCGTTGCCGACGTGGACTCAAAATTCAAAGGTAAACCTCTATAAACTAATTTTTCCATGCAAAATATTGATTTGTACAATTATTTGTTTTGACTTTTTTAGGCAATTCGGGTGCCAAATAGAAGCACTCGGCTGCCGACATTGAGCGAGCCGTTCGAGCTGTTCCTCTGTTGGCACGCCAAACTGTGCGAACAATGGCAGCCCAGTCTGGTTATTCCAAGACTACACTGGTGCGCCATATGGACGAAGAGAAGACTTTAAAGCCCAAGTCAAGCCACTCGAAGCCGTATCTCACGGATGCCAACAAGCGATGCCGCATGGAGCATGCAATGTCCTTTCTTTCAGAGTCGTTGAATGGGACTACTTTTTCCAATATGTACAATTACGTGCATGTTGACGAAAAGTGGTTCTATTTAACGGCTGTAAAGAAACGATGTTATGCTTATGACGACGAAGTTAAGTCCAAGAGATTCATTACGAAAGTAATGTTTCTTGCCGCCGTGGCCCGGCCAAGGTTTGATTTCCACAAAAAATCATTGTTTGACGGCTAGTTTAGTGTCTGGCCATTACGTGCTGCGGCAAAGCAAGCGTGCAAGCAAAAATCGCCCGAAAGGTACTGTAGTTACGGTACCTCAGACGGTAAAATCTGATGTTTATCGCGACATGATTTTAAATAAAGTTGTGCCTGCGATTAACATGCAAAACAAAATTTCCCATGGGGGATCAGAATAAGATAATATACTTGCAGCAAGATAATGCGAGTCCACATAATTGTGTGACTACACAGCTTCTGCTTAATCATGGTGTTACTGGTATTTGCGCGGCTAATCTACCGCCAAATAGCCCCGACTTAAATGTTCTCGATTTGGGATATTTTAATTCGATTCAAAGTCTACAAAGTCAAAAGTTTACTCGAAATATCGATGAGCTTGTTGACGCTGTAAAAGAGCTCATATCTTGAGCTGCCCCTTGACACATTGTCGAAGACCTTCATTACCTTGCAAAAGGTTATGGAGAAAACTCTTGAAAACAACGGAAACAACGACTACAAGCTTCCTCATATGAGCAAAGATGCAACGATAAAGGACTTGTCCTTGTTTCATGTTCACTGCGACCCAGCAGTGCACGATGGCGCACTTGCCATCCTCAGCGGCACTTGAATTCCCAAGAAAGAGTAAGGTAATGCATCAATTATTGACACTGTTTTTGGTCAAGTTTTGGCCATGACTTCAAATCCCAGTAGCTCGAGAACGAGAACGATTATTTTAATGCTGATAGCACCACAAGAGAATATAAAACGCCACCATTTTTTTGACGTATCATTGAGCATGATTGGACTATATTTCAGATTTGTATCGAAATTAAATGTTTGAGCTTTATGGTCACGACTTTTGAGGTGAATCAATTCATGACACTCCTTAAAATCCTTGATGTTTGTATTTAATTAAATTAATATGCAAAATAATTTGATCAAAAATATAATTGCATGCATTTTGCAAAACGTAATAAAAATTTAAATGAATTTGTCAGATTAAAAAATGCAGTCAGATATTAATTCACTGATGTGGATCACAACAGTGGATGCCATCCACTCGTTGCGACGAGCAATACACTGCTGCTTCTTTGTCTATGGTAGCGATGGCTCTATAGTGAATACTTCCATGTATCACGTAGCTATGCATAACTGCCGTTACACTCTCGTAGGCATGCGTGGCGGGAGAGCATCAAGTGTTTCTAGATGGCATTCTACTTAAATACTTGTATTTTTTTGTTTGAGATTGAAAAAACTGACCAGACTTCAGCATTGTGACGTGTAATAAAATATAGAGACGAATATTATCATATCCAATCATACAAGGCCAACACGAAATATCGAGATGCTATTGGCTAAAAGTCAGACAGTCTCATAATTTGGTGCCGTGTCAACAATTGATGCATTACCTTAGTTTTATCATTTTACAGTTAATAAAACGTCATTATATTTTTGTGTTACAATATGGAATGTTGAAGTCCAATACAAACATTAAGATATTTTTCGAAACGTTGCATAATTTAATCAAGTCAAAAATATGGGACTATTTTCCCAGAACAGAGTAGTACTACTGTAGTACATGTACCTATACTTCACTTAATTAACATATACTAGTACTACAGTAGTACTAGTACTTCGAAGTACAATGTACTGTATAATCAACTACACACATCTTGGAGGATATTATGACGTATTTTGAATGTTACTTCCCTTGATTAACACATACTAGTACAAAGGATTATGAACGACTGACTACTGTATTGTATTACTACTTTAGTACATGTACAGGTAACTGCATTGGAATTGGATCACAGTGGTACAACGACTACATACAAATCATCATATAAAACGAAGGTGGATCAAATACAGGGTATTAAAAATATTTAATCAGATTGATTAAAATACGATACAGTATACAATAAACAGTCTCAGATTGGCCAATAAGTAACCAAAAGAGAACGCTGAAAACCATGTCGCATATTCGGCACAATCAAGCCTGCGCACAAAATGAACAGTTCCGACGGATTCAGAAGGGGGGTATGGTTAGCTCCTCAATGATAGTACGTTCATTTGAAAAAGCCCTGCCCAATGTAGTTGAGTTGTAAGGGCCTGGTCGGGGAATGTTTTCGTTCGTGCTTCTGCCAAACCAACATAGACAAAAGACATTTGATTGGCCCAAGTTAATCGGTTTCCGGATACATTCCATGTCTTATACGGCACTGCCAGGCAGAGATTGACCATCCACGTTTGCGAACGTCATTCGTGTTTACTGGTCGTACAGAGAAGTACCTGGGGTATGCAATGAGTGGCTTGGCCAGCAACGACAAAGACATCACAGTCCGTGATGAAAGCTTAGGTGATAACGACACACGAATCCGGCCTATTGTTTCAACGATGAGTAATAGAGGCTCCACAACCAAGTGCAATGAAACCCAAGCGTTTTCGCAAGCAAGTGCCACGCACATACCTCTGGTGTGACGACAGCGTTGAGAAGATGTTCATGTTACGGTATACGTCGGCCTTGGCGCCTCGTTTTGAATCCAAGAACAACTACGGAAAGGGAGTGGCATATGTCATGCTAGCAACGGAGCTCAGTGTGTCCATGGAGCGGGAATTTACTGCAAAGCAGGTGCAAGATAAGGTAAGACACTTCATGTTTAAGGTTTATAAACTTATAAATGCACTAGCTCGCGAAAATGAAGTCCGAGTGGTCATTGTCGAAGCCCAGTTTGGCTAGTCCGACAGGGAATGCAACCAGACCACGGCAGCCGATGCATTTCGACGTCATGCTCGAGTATTGGGGTGATAAGATCGGGTACGAGAGTCCCTTATGAGCACTGACGACGTCAGCGAGGATGATAGCTTACAAAACAGCACGGGTATGCAATGTTGGTGTATTAATACTACTTGTTTGTTTTTATCACACGTTTTACAAATTATATTTAATAGATATGATTGGCGAGGCTGTCGACTCGTCGTTCGTTGCTGATGACGACGATGCAAAAGAAATAAAAATAGAAATGGCGGAGGAGCCTTCAAAGAAGAAACAAAAGAAGAGCAGTCGTGACGCGAAAGCCAAGTCACAATCCGAGTCGCTCGAAGCTGGTTTCAATGCAATTAAGGAAGGGTTGATGTTCTTAGGCACGTCGATGTCTCAACAACCCCAAGTTCAGCCAGCACCGGGTGCTACTTTGGACGATGTGTTAATTGCGATCAAGTCGCAATCGGACACGATGACCCAACTGCTGTCTCACTTAGTTGCCCAAAAGGGAAATAAGGATGCGTAAGCACGTACTTTTCGAGATTTCAAATTTGATAATTTATTGATAAATTATCTTTGCAATGGAATAACGCTTGTTCACTGCATGCAGTCGAAGCAGTGAATTGTTTTCAACATTATCATCGTCTTGAGGTTGGACATGATCATTCCGATCGCGCCGTTGACAGGGATTGTCAAATAGGTCGTCCTTGTAGTGCAAAAATATGTTATGCAGTACAAAGCATGCGGTAACGACAGATACCGTACGGTCCAACGACTTTTCCTTCATGGGCGTCTTCAAAATTCGGAATCGTTCCTTCAACCGCCCAAACGCGCATTCGACCGACATTCTGCAGCTGGAGAGTTTGAAATTGAAGTGCTTTTGCAACTTGGACAACTTTCCACCCTCTTCACGGGGAACGAAAGGAGTGATAAGCCATGGCAGCAATGTGTACCCAGCATCGCCCAGGATAAAACATCCCATAGGGATTTTTCCATGAATTGATTTGCCCATTTGGATGTTTTACAGATCTTCTTGTCGGAGTAAGATCCAGGTCGGATATCCACGGACATGAATCGAGGCTTGGAGTCGACAACGGCTTGGATGTTCAACGACGGGTCTCCATTACGATTGTAGAATCCATCGTAGTCTTTGGGGCGTTGAATGTCAATCAAGGTGCCGTCCACAGCACCAACAATTCCAGGGAAGATTTGTTTCGGGAAAAAATCCTCCTCGATTCGAAGCCACTCGGCGGGGTTTGGGGTATCAAAATCCACAACTTTGCTTGCTTCGCCAAGGCAGCGACGAATACGTTCACGGTCTCCACGCACCATGATTTGGACATGCCGAATGCAGCGCCTGTTTCACGATATCCACCCTCGGACCCCAGAAAATACAGCAGCACTGCAACCTTCTTCTTGAACGAGTACGACGTCTCCCGTCTCATCAACTCTGGCCATGATGTGCTGAGCCACGACGCAAGACGGCGGAATGTCGACTGGCTGCACCGAAGGTTTGCCTAAAACCATTGCTCGTACTGTGGTTTGCCGAGCATGATGTCAAAATCAACGTTGGTAACCGTGAACACATTGAATTTGTCATTAGCGTGACGGGTTAGAGTTGCTGCTACCCCAACACATACCGCTTACAAGGTGCAGGCCGCCGCGATGACCGCAATCTTGGATTGCATTGGAGTGTGGGCAGCTCAGTCACAAACACGAATGCTCACCGTCCACATATCGTACCCTATCCGAATAATTTATGTCCGTACAAACATGAATCGACTCGGACACGAACAAATATTTCCCCGACCAGGCCCTAACTATGTAATGCAGGTATTCGCATTACATAGTTACAACTCAACTACATTGGGCAGGGCTTTTTGAAATGAACGTACTATCATTGAGGAGCTAACCATACCCCAAACTTTGATGACCCTCTGAATCAGTTTGAGACGCTTTTCAGCTGCCGTCTGAACCCTCTCCTCATACAACCACTCTTTGCGACACATAGACTTAAATGGGCCCATAATGCCCACATCCAGAGGCTGAACGAAACTGGTTGAATTCGCCGGAAGCTGGGCCAATGTAGCAGAGCAGTTCAGCTCGACCTCCATGATTGTCTTCGCACGATCCGACACGTGGGCGTGAAGATTGTCTACCACGAGGACTGTTGGTCCCTGAACCTCAAACTTCAAAATCTCTCGCAAGTAGATTGCCCAAACATCGTGGTCCATGTACGCGTGCTCCTGGACAGCATAGACCGCACCAGGTGGGTACGTCGGCAGCTCTTCGTAGTCAATGGATCCTCCAGGCGTTCCTTTCACGATGATCAACGGAGTTAGCTTTCCTCCTATAGAATACATAAGTCAATGTTGCATAAGCCTTTTCTCACCGTCGGCTCGGATGCTGAGCAACACTGAAACACGCTTGGAGTGCTTTTGGGCTTCCTTGACACGCGTCGAATCGCCTCGCTTCGACAGTGTCTTGGTTGGTGGCATGTCGTAGTATACAGGCGTTTCGTCGGCGTTGATGATGTCACCTAGACTGACGCCAGAATGTTCGGCCCAAAACGAGGTGGCAAAGGATTGTCGGGTCTCCTCCAAATAGGACTGCAGTCGCTTGGCCCTGACTAGGGCACGGTACGAGAAGCCATGGCGGTATGCAAATCGGCGACACCACTCCAACAGACGCTTGTGTGACTCGTCGGATCCCTCGTCACCGAACATTGTTGTCCACTCGTGATTGTTCGTAAGCAACCACGTTGCCATGCTTATCGTCGTGAGAAAAGACTCCTCGTTACGCACGTCTTCCATGCTTTGCAGCAGCACGCCACGGATTCGGTCTTGCCGCGTCCAAGGAGGGTGGCTCGGGACCCACGATCCGTGGATGAGTCGTATTGGTGTCGGTTCTTCTTCCAACGTGCAAAGGAGGATTGCGGAAGCCGAAGCTGTCTGCAGAATTCTCTCTCGCTACTGCATGGAGGCATGGCATCAAAGAGTCGAAGGTACACCCGAATGTTGCGGACGTTGTAGCGTCGGTAGAGTCGTTTCGCCACAGGCTTGGGTTGCATGATTTGTTTGTAAGTGTCATACGCGCAATATTCATTAGCCAATCATTGCTAACAATATTTGAATTTTGAAACGTTCGCGGCAGGTGTTACCTTCGAATCTGACGAATGGGACTTCGCTATTTTGTCGATCACTTATTGGCTAAAATGAAACTGCCTGCATCCATTTGATATTTTTTTGGCCAAGTATAAAAATATGCAAGTACTACTGTGATCCAATTCTAATGCAGTTACCTGTACCTGTACTTCACTTGATTAACATAAACTACTACGTAGTACGTAGTACTTCGAAGTACAATGTACTGTACCTATACTATTTACTGTATATTCAAGTACACATCTCTTGGAGACTATTATGACGCATTTTAAATGTTACCAGTACTTCACTTGATAACATATACTGTAGTACAATCTACTGTACATGTACTATGTACTGTACTACTACTGTAGTGCTGCACATATCTTGAAGAGGACTAATTCCCCGGTAGCAACCGTGGTACAGCTGCAATTGACTTAAACGGGGCTGCTGTGGGGGAATTTTGAATATGGGACCGACGTCCGGATATATCCGGTTAACTAATATATATGAAGACAGAATATCTATGACACCTCCTCAGCCACTCAATCCATCCGGATATAAGAACATTAACCGTACAAGGACATTTCGGTTAGCACTTTTCTTTTCACCATGAATGACTTTGTTTCCCATGAATACTTGCTCCTGGCTATGCAAAAGAATTTCACAAAACTGCCGGACACCGACAGCGACTATGTTCTGCCTAGTGCGACCAATTGTATCAAAGTACACGACTTTGGTAGCTTCGTGTATTTACGACAGTGTTTAGATACCTATAGTTTAGAGCTTGGATTTCGACTTCGTCAGTAGTATCGAAATGCAGTAGCAGTAGCGAGTTCAACGCGCTTGTCTCTGATCCTCGACAACTCACTGGGAAACAAATCATTGGCCACTTCCGATGTGCAAGCGGCAAATCCATATCAACCTCGTCTGCAAGTCGTACGAAGCGAGAACTTGTCGAGCACTTGTACGGATCTGTTAACTTGGCGTTTGAAAAAGTCGACAACTATTTTGAAGCCATCAAGTCAAGAAACCCTGGATCATGTGCCCTCGTTGAAACACGACTGGGAATGTTCAATCGCAGCGTTCTTGTTCCGCGGCTTTGTATTGATGCTTTTAAACATTGTCAAAATCTGATTGCACTTGATGGTATGTTCATATATAAGTATTAACTTGTATAGGTGCTCATTTGAAGAATCTGATGAATGCGAACGGCGTTCTTTTGCTGGCCACTGCGAAGGATCCGAACTACCAACAAGTCATGCTGGGTGATTTTGTTGGTTACAGCGAACACTGGACTTGGTTTAGCGAACATGAACTTTTTGTCCTTGGGCCGTCACTTGTCCAGTGTCGAAGAATCCCTCGTTTACAAGCTGGCTTGCTCAGACAGTAGAGAATATTTTACAAGACACATGGGCAAGCTTCAATCGTCCAACGCAAGTGTGCAGCCTTAATGATGTGTGCATAATGTCGTAGCTTGTAGTTGTTGCTGCATACCTTCCACACATCCCAGACAAGAATTGGGTGACGTATGCGTTTCCCCGTCCAACATTTGATAACGTCACCTCAAACTTGAATGAATCGGTGAATCAATGGCTTGGCACCGAACTCCACAGTTCCGATGCTGTGACGCTCCACTTTCGTTACATGTACCACCCCAAATACCTTAAAGACATCAACGAACGAAGATGTACTATTTCTTCTAGCATGTTCTACATCATCTAGTACATACTGTAACAGCAAAAACTAGTACATTCTAGAATTACTAGCAAGTTAAACAACATCTTTAACAATATGCATGTGTTTATATAGATCCTAAAGCGTCAATTGGCCAGACGAAGCCATGACGCCTGTGCATCAAAAGTTGTACCAATCGCTTTTGATTAATCACGACGAATTGAGGTATGCTACTTGAAATCCTAAGTCTAACTGTTTCACAATGCATGTAGATCGAAGTTTGTGAGCCTGGGAAAAGCTTCTCAGGCATGTACTTTGATCCCCACACTACCACGGCTCATCTGTGGCGATTGGTCGACCTCGAGGATAATAATGTCAATGCCGGACATGGTTCGATTCGAAGGAACCGCGCATCCATGCATATCGCTGCTACAATGCTGTTCACTTGGATCCGTTGCAGTTCCACGACGACGTTTACACGTCCAAACGGTTCAAGTTGCTCTACGCGGCGCATGTAGTTCCACTGCCACCCCAAAAACTTGACAACGACCCACAGTCGCAAACTCGTACACCATGCGGCACTGATGTGAACCCGTCGAAGCCTGGACCGAAGCCGAAACGTCGCAAGCGGTCGTAAGGAATGCGAAATTAGCAGCGTAATTAATAGTATAAATGACCCTCGTGTGACTTCTAGATATTACATACTTTCTAGAATTGAGAAGTAATTCTACAAGTTATATAGTAGTTCTAGTAGTTTGTTACTAATTCTAGTATTCATTAGATGTTCTGTTCCAGCACTTCTTAATCAGACCTAATTTAAAGTGTTTAGTGACTCCAGCTGTCGTGTTTCTTTACCTTTCCTCAACAGCATGGCATGCTCATCAGTAGGTTCCAAGAGTCGTCGAGCATTGAGGTCGTCCAATCGTGCCCCGTGTTCCTCGGAGGATCCCATAGAGCGCTTATCCTTGATTGTTGCAGGCGTAAAGCATGCTGTACTGGGGACTTCTTGCTTCGCATCTCAGCTTGTTTCGCGCTTTGAATATTTAGTCGCTTGCGCCGATCGTCATGTGATTCAGTTGACTGTTTGTTGGCTGGCTCGCTGTGCAGCCATGCGAGGTCGATTTGTTTCCCTGCTGCATCGCAATTTCTCCGCGTCAGGAGTGAGTGTTGCATCGCTTGCTGGAGTAACCATTTATGTCTTCGGTTCAGTCACGGCCACGTCAGTGGCGTGAGTAGTTGTGACCTGTTCAAAATATTTGTTAAGTACTTGGTGATGTGATGATATTTGTCAATAATTGGTATTACTTGGATGGAGTTGGTTTTACCTGCTGCTCTAAGAATATTTCTCTTCAGCCCAGTCACGCGCACGTCTGCGGCTGGCGTAGTTGACGCCTGTTTGGATTCCATGCTAACTGAAGGCATGTGTATAGACTGAATATGTGTTTGTCAAGTTACTTGGATCGAGTTGGATTGGGTAAATTTTCGCCTCTTTCGTCGGGCGGTTTAATTGGGCCCATATTTTCCTAATTTTGAAACTTAAAAACTATATAATTTGATCGTACAAAGAACTCCTTTAATTTCATTTAACTGTATAATCCAATCACAGAAATACCCCCGGAGTTTGATTTGGGAGAACGACAAGAAACCTCTTAAACTTAATACGTACGAGAATCGGCGATGACGGCTCTCGAAGGAAACACGGGGGTCGACGGACGGCCACATACATGGAGCAACACAGGGAAGCCACGCACGGAAGCCACACACGGGAGCAGATAAAAAGTAACCACACAAACACAACTTTAAGTAAGACAGTTCAAATGTGGATGATCACTACGCCAACAACGGCACAAGCGTAAATGATGACTCGATCGCTACCCTTGAACGATCACAGTAAAGCAGACCTATCACACACTCGACTACGAGCCTACACGTTGCAAGTGAAATCACGAGCTTCACCGACCAGCCGAAACTGATGGTTTGAGGGTGCAGGGAGAGAGTGCTGAGCACGCAAATGCCCCAGGCAAGCAAATCCAAAGTTGGAGCTATTCCGGATAAAAAGTCACTTGAACTTGCAACAATGGGACTGATCCAAAACAAGTAAGCGCATACATTCTCACTACAACGTTGAACCTGATATCATTGCAAGTAAATATAGAATGCGTCTGATACAAATCACTTCACTGCCAAGTTTCGCATTCACATTGCAAACCTTGAACCTGATAACTTGTTAACGAAGATCATCGTATAATCTACCAGTAGTGTTGTGCATTTTACGATGTATGAATTTCGTGAGTCCATTGGATGCAGAACTGGCCGCGACTCTTATTACCCAACTCAGTGACATGCGCGAGCTAGTTGACAATACCAAGGAATTTTGGGCCGGTTGGCACCGGATTCTTAAGGCTGTACCGTGCGACTACACAATGTACAGCATGGGACGCTTCCACGGGAAAAAGAAGTGCAAAGTCAACTACTTGCCGTTTCACTGGATAACGCGCTCCTTATTCACTCCTAATTTGCAGAACTGGCGACTTGGATGAAGAAATCGAAACTCCCGACCACGTTCCATGAAATGCGTAAAAAAAGCTGCAATTTGCAAAAAACAAGTCTCGAGCTATTACGAGCGATCTGCAGCGCCATACGACCTGAATGGGAGTGTCACGACATGTGTTGGAGTACCAAGTCCGGGATTTCAAGCGACGACTCGAAACGGCTGAAGCGACCCTCGAAGCACAGGTTTCGAAACAACGTCGCCTTGCCGCGAAGGTGTCCGATGAATTTCCTGCACGCCCACACGACTAATTGAATACACATTCTCTGTCTTATAACATTGTTGAAGTATATTTCGTAATTTATTTCCTGTCGACCTTTCTCTAATTAAATCAAGTGTGCATTTTCCAATTTGAAACTAAACATCTCAAGCGAAAGGCCGACGACACTGACCACATCCCCGGAACTCCAGAACCTAAGCGTTGCGTCAGTATTATGGAGAGCTCACCGACAGCGCCGCTTGGAGCTTTGATCGACTCGCTTGACGAGGCCGAAGCGTTCTTAGACCGAATTGACCGACCAGCACTAGCGAGGCTCAGTGGGCGCATTGTTTTTACTGATCGACGTGTTGCCGGGTCTACTGTCCTTACAGTGTTCTTTGTTGGTGCGAATGATGATGCGTCCATTGAGGACCTCCAATCGTGCACTTGCCATGCGACTGGCGAGACAAAACGCTCCAACATGCTTATGCTCTACAGTGCTGTTGTGTTCGTTGTTCCTCTCAACCACGATTTCATACCTGGTCGTGTTGCTACATCCACTCGCACGTCAAAGCACAAACCCATATATCAATCGCTTGTCAGTCGGTTATACATCGCGATGTCTGGGTACTATACAGCTTATATTGTTATCACTTGTGTACAGTACATGGGATGGTTGTGTTCAAATAGGATGCTATGATAGCAATCGATGTACCATTCTTCATCGTTGCAGCGGTCGTCGCATTTAGCTTTGATTCTACACGTGTTAGACAGATATCATTGTTTCCTGGGATGGATATCACTGCGGCCGAGCAATACCAATATATAGGCAATGTAGGTTCAACACAATTCCGCCCACACCACCACTCCTACAGCGGGTAATTCGTTGTCCACATGTCTAGATGTCTGGTTCCTAATGATGTTAGACAGATATCTTTGTGCACGCCATTTCGTTGAGCTGCAATACCGTATTTTGGTATAGCTAGTCGAGTATCGGTCGTCGAGGCAACGTCCTTCATTCGATCGCAAGTTGTCTTGTTCCTAAACAGGTTAGAGTGATATCTTTCTTTGAGATTGGATAGCGTCGGAAGACACTGTGGCCAAGGAACACAAACGTAACGACACTACGAGCCACCACACGGCGACTTCGCCCACAATACCACACCAGAAGTCCAATCGAAAAGTGTCAGATTCTCATTTCGGCCCACAGGCTACTATACGCAATTCTAAATAGCCCGCACAACGCATTGTGGATGAATTGAATTCGAATTTCGAAGCTGAAGGTTTTGAACTCCACTGGCCTCAACTGGCTCTTCCAAAATACGTGTTCTTCTAATGAAAATTAGTTTTGTATGGTGCAAGTCTTTAGATGACTTGCACGTTCCTTTCAGTGAAACCCACGAAATGTTGACGTTAAAGCATTAATTGTTACGTTTTTTACCTGATAATTAGGTTAAACGTCCTGAATAATCGGGATACAATGAAAGCTTGTCCAGTTCTATCGTTATTACGGCTTATTTTCCTAAAAAATATAATACAAAGTTAGAATAGCTGTCGAAAGACAAGGTAATTTTTTGTAGTCTTTAGATGACTTGCACCATACCTTCTATGTACTGCTGTGCGTTGTAATGTACGCACTGGAATACTAGTATTTCATACGGTACTACATACTGTGTGTACTGTACTTTCTGTACAGATAATATAAAACAGTCAAATTAGACTGCGGTGTACCGGTACTTCACTTGATTTACTTATTCTTACGTACAATGTACTGCATGTATACTACAGTATGCACTGTATATTCAACTGCACACATCTTGAAGGATTATAATGACACATTTTGAATGTTACTTCACTTGATTAACGTATACTAGAACAATCTACTAAACACATATTAATACTATGTACTGTACTACTACTGTAGTGTGCATCACTTAATTAACATATACTAGTACTGGTACTTCGAAGTACAATGTACTGTACCCATACTATGCACTAGTACTGTATAATTAACTACACATATTATCAAATCGATTCGAAACATGAGCCCCTCAGCAGAATCGAATGTCCTAAGAGAATGGATTAAAGAATCGCCTAACCCAATCAAATCACGTCCTGTAAAATTTCTGCCAATCAAAATGTTTGACCTCTCCGCATTGGGCAAAACCACGTACATACTAATCGTTGTATAGTGCAGTTTGTACCAGCTTAAATGAGATCAAATGGATTCGAATGCTATTTGGCGAAATGACACACAAGTCCAAATTTGAGTGAAATGCACAATATCTTGGAGGATTATTATGACGTATTTTGAATGTTACTTCACTTGATTAAATATGTACTGTATATTCAAGTCCACATATTTTGGAGACTGTTCTGACTTATTTTGAATGTTACCAGTACTTCACTTTATTGACATATACTGTAGTACAATATACTGTACGTATACTATGTACTGTAGTACTGTACTGCACATATCTTGAAGGATTATACTATTGTACTATTTTGAATGTTACTACACTTGATTAAACATCCCCTTCGAAGTACTACCCTAGTATTCAATGTACTGTACGTATACTATGCACTGTACTCCTAGTACTACTTGTAGTACATGTACCAGCCCTCAGGAAAAGTACAGTCGTACTGTACAGACTAATCAGTCAAATTAGACTATTGTTGATTACATTCCAGAATTACTGTAATTCCTAAACGATGGTCGTAAAGAGTGAATTGAATATCTTGAAAGGGCTTAATACGACGCCTTGATTAAAGTATGTATTTATTATTATGACGCATTTGGACGGGTACTTAGACTTTATTAAAGTGTTGTGCATTGTATACCGCTTACGCTTTGGGCGCAGTCTCCTCGTGTGTTCATTGTTTACTTCAAACGTTAACGGTATGTATTACTATACTGCAGTGCACTACAACATAGTACTTACCTCCGTAGTGAAACTTTTGTTAGATTTACCCCTTAACATAAATAATTCGATATGGTAGTGAAAGCGGTGCGTCTTGTCTTTTGGAATCACTTCTCAAAACTCAAATATCGTAACGGACTCAAAAGTTACGTTCATTCTACCCCGACGCCTCCAAAAAAGTTCTCTTAAGTACGTACAATCTTTATCCGTTTTTAATTGTACGACCTATTTTGATCTAAACCTTTGTATATGGTAACTCCTATAAATCAGATATAGCTTGATAAAATTATGAGGAAACACAGTGAAAATCAATCATCATAGTACTTCGTTGCTGTACTATGAATACCTACTGTCAGTAGAACTACTACGTATTAATAGTAGTTGTACGGTACTATTAACTATTAACAGTAGTACTAATAATGTATTAGTACCTTGTACTGTACTGTTGTGTATACAGTGTCAAATCTTGTCCTTTACAGCACAGTACTGTTCTGTACTACAAGTAGTAATCATTAACTGTAAGATGCAGTATCAAATCTAGTCCTTCTAGTACCCCTTCTAGTACAATACAAAGTACTGGCATCATGCTCTCATCGGATGTACCAGACCTTCCTTTGAATGCAAGGTTCACTGAAAATTTCTCCATTCTGTGCATCCGTGTGGAGTACGTACTTCACTTGATTAGCATATACAATCTACTGTACGTGCACAGCAGCACTATGTACTGTACAGTAGTACATGTACCTGTACTCAGGAAGAGTACAGTTGTACTGTACAGGATATCAGTCAAATTAGTCCATTGTTGATTACATTCCCCACACTTGCATTTATAGTGCATTGAATATCTTGAGATAGCTTAATATAACGCATTTTGATGGCTATGTTGAACTTGAGTAAAGTATGTATTGATTATTTTGACGCGTTCGACTGTTACCTTTACTTGAAAAAAGTATGTGTGCACAAATTGTATACCGCTTACGCTTTGGGCGCAGTCTCCCTGTGAATCGTCCAATTACTCTGTGATGCTTAGTGCGCACTACTTTGTAATATCGCCAAATCCCTCTATCGATTTTGTATGGCAGAGTATCCTGTTTTAAATGTTATTAGTACTGCACTTGATTAACGTATACTAGTACTTACGTAACATATACTTACGTGCACAGAAACTACAGAATGTACTGACTGTGAATACTAGTCATTTTGAATGTTACTTCACTTGATTAATGTAAACAATCTACTGAACATATACTATTAATAGTACTACCATGTAATGTACCACTACTGTAGTACATGTACCTATACTTCACTTAATTAACATTACTGTGTACATGTACCTGTTCTTCACTTGATTAACATAAACTAAGTAGTACTTCGATGTACAATGTACTGTCCCAATAATATGTACTATATATTCAGCTTCATATGTTTGGAGGATTATTATGCACTTGATTACTACTAGTACGTAGTAACACATACTAGTATTGTACTACATGTACTATGTACTGTACTACTACTGAAGTATGCGTACTGTTTACTGGTCCACACTGCAATCCATACATCCATTTACAGAGAACCCCGGAAAAGTCCGACCCCCCCCAAAATATCCGACCACCTGTCTAAATTGATGTAATTTTATTCATCGTCGACGCACCTTTGAAATTGAATTTATCCATCACGAAGCCAATCACAAAGCAGTATTAATGAAAGTTTATGATTGGCCTATTCAAATTCAAAATTTGAAACACTTCACTTGACATCATGCCGACGCGACACCGCAAGAAGTCATACTCCATCGACGAAAAGCGAAAGCTCCTGGCTATGTTCGAAGCCACTGCAACGAGCCATCGCAAGAGAGAACCCCGGAAAAGTCCGACCCCCACAAAATATCCGACCACCTGTCTAAAGTGATGTAATTTTATTCATCGTCGACGCACCTTTGAAATTGAATTTATCCATCACGAAGCCAATCACAAAGCAGTATTAATGCAAGTTTATGATTGGCCAAAACGCTTCACTTGACATCATGCCGACGCGACACCGGAAGAAGTCATACTCCATCGACGAAAAGCGAAAGCTCCTGGCCATGTTCACTGCAACGAGCCATCGCAAGTTCTGTGCGGAGCATGGAATACCTCGAAGTACGTGGATCGACTGGCAAAAGCGCCGCACAGAACTTGCGACGACTCGAAGCAACGCCAAGCGCGAGCCACTACGTCCGTCGCTGGGGTCTTAATGCCTCTTCTCTTCCTCTCTGCATATGCTGGACTCGCTTTACGTGTCGGTGGCGGCGGCGGGCATCGCCGAAGGCTGCCTCTTTCCCACGTACTCGGTTCTTACGCGGGAACTGTTTGGTGCCGCGCACTTCGGTAAGAAATTTGGCTACATGACGTTCGCCAATGCCATTGGGTTTCCGCTCATCCTTGGTCCCCTCGCGTCGGCCTTATACCATGTGACCACCACCACGTCCCCGTCCGGGGTTGAAATTTGCCAAGGCCATAGCTGCTTCAATCTGACCTTCCTCATCTGTGTAGCGCTCAATGCAGTGTCCTTGTGTGGGTCTCTCCAACTGCATGCGTAGTTGTGAGGTACTACATACACACTGGATAAATAAACGAAAAAGCAATGTAGTTTTGGGTTGGTGCTGGTCGTTGCTGATGGTACGAAGGGGACATGTGCCAGAGGTGAAGTTAGTTAGCCTCATGGCTGGCTATTCACATGTTTTACGTGCTACTATAGTTTCCAAAATCTACGATACCGTATATTTCCTCATGTAACGTTACGCTCGTAATTTCTACCAATCATATCTAACAATAAAAAAGTAATGAATATTATTACTCTGGCGACATCCCCATACAAAATTTGCTGTAACCCCTGTCGGATATTTCCGGGGTTCTCTGTATTACTACGCTTAGTCCAATACATGATAGAGTATGTATTACAAGTATTAATAGTATCGTGTACTGTACTGTACTAGTTAGTATACAGTTACTGTGCTGTACTACCGGTATTAATAGTAATCATTAACTGTAAGATGCAGTATCAAACTTTGTCCTTCTAGTACTCCTTCCAGTACTAGACAGAGTACTAGCATGATGCTCTCATCGAATGTACAGTACAGTACCAGCCCTTCCTTTGAATGCAAGGTCTATTGAAAATTACTCCATTCTGTGCATCCGCGTGGTGTACGTACTTCATTTGATTAGCATATACAATCTACTAGTACTGTACTACTAGTACTACTGTAGTTCTACTGTAGTACATGTACACAAGAAGAGTACAGTAGTACTTTACAGATTAATCAGTCAAATTAGACTATTGTTGATACATTCCAGAATACCGTAATTACTATACGATGGTCATAAATAGCGCATTGAATATCTTGAGATAGCTTAATATGACGCATTTTGGCAGTTACGTTGAACTTGATTAAAGTATGTATTGATTATTATGACGCTTACCTTACACTTGATTAATGTATTGCGCACAATCGAAACCATCGACAACGACAACAACAACAACATAAATGATCCGAAATCTTCATCCCAACGCAGAGGGACTGCGAAATTGAAATATATTGAACAACGTGTGAAATATACCGCATGTGGGGACATATACCGGACATTAGTCGAAATATACTGTCCCTTTGGGCGAGACGAATGGTAAAGAAATTTTCCAGGGAGCCGATTTTGATGCTCTTTTTTACAATCTCTTCGTCACCAACCACATATTCTGCATTCAGAATCTTCAAGGCCAAATTGGGAAATTCTGCTCTACGTTCGCAAGCAACGATTCATGAACACAAACGTAATATTATAATAATGTAGAAATTATTATAGTTATAATTTCTCAACAGTTTTAATAAATGATACCTCTGATGTAGTAATTATATACATTATTTAACGATTACATTATTTTAAGACTCAAGTATAATATACTTCGAAGTACCTGTTTTAATGATGCGTTTCCATTGTGCTGAAACTTCATTTCAAACCTGGTGGAGTTGTACTCAATTCCAGGCAGAATAAAACCTCTCACGGACTGCACTTTAAACTCCTGAATTCAAATATACCTTTGGATCGAGGAAATACCTCCTAAATAGGGCAAAAGTTATGGCAGTCACAAATCTTGACTTCGTTCCACCCAAACGGACAGCACTGCAACGATGTAGGGTCTAGACGAAATATATCGATTGTTCGGCGAGCATAACGCGCATGACGTGAATCAGTTGTGTGTCGGATGAAACATACCGGAAATAACCTGAACTTAATCGAAAAATGGTGTAGTAAGTACATGCTATTAATAGTTGTACATACTACTAGTACGTAGTAGTATGAACTTGTGGTCCTAACACGTCGTTCAGTGGTGGTCACGAGACTATAAAGCTTACTAGCTATTGTGGTACTACTAGTACTTCCACATCATCCAGCTTGTCACGAGGCTCTAAGGCTCAGTATTTTGAATCTAGTGTGCAGGTGCTGCCATGTGATCAACGTGCACTGACGTCATGGTGGTGATGTCGAGAGACTCCAAAGGTTAGTACTTAGTTTGTGGTGGTGTTGTACTGCTACGTCATCTAGGATGCACGGGCGTCATGGTGGTGTCGAGAGACTCTGAAGCTTAGTAGTTAGATTGTAATGTTGTGGTGGTGCAACGTCATCAACGATGTAGCGTTACGAGCATCATTGCGGTGGTGTTACGAGTCACTAAAACATGCAGTGTTATGGTATTGCGTCCCAGGGACTAATGCTATCGCATGATTGGTTAAAAATTAGAGGTTGATTTGAAGTCGACACCAAACTTCGGCGTAGCCGTACTTTCTGTGTGATACTGGTCATGGAGCCGCTTGATGTGCTGTCTGATGTCGAAAACTTGCATGATATGGACGCACTTGCCATGGGTCATGAAGTTGTCCCAACTAGTGTGGCGTCATTCGCGCATGACACCTTGGGTGACGTAGGTGAGGGCTTCTTCTTCGACGATGCCAACGCGTTAGCCACGAAAATGGTTGTCCGGGGAACCCAGCTTGGTTTTACTGTGTGCAGAATTGGCAATTACATTTCAGTACTAATCTCCACCCTACCCTCGGAGACCGACATAGACTGCTATGGAGGGTGGTCTTGTATTGCAACTTCAAAACTGCTGAGGACAAACCAAACAGTCGAGTGAAGTTGTATCCATGAACGGTCAAGTTCCATTTTGATCGCTCAAAATGAGTTACATGGTTACACAAAGACCTAGTGTTCTTCGAACCGCCTCCTTAAGTTTGCCAACCAACTCACCACGAACGAAATCGAGTTATCAAAGGCCTTATCCAAGGCCTTGGTCGTTACTACTTGCCATCCGGTAAAGTGCGCGAAATCGCCAAGCACCAGAATCCCGGCAGAATGTACTGTACAGTAACAACCTCTTGTACCGCCTGATGGACAGGGGGCGACGACTCTTCCTCGGCAGCGACCGGGATAGCATGTCGAAGTTTTTCGACCTCTGCTATAATGTGCGTGCAAGTGGCGGTTCATTCGAGTATGATTTGGACACGTCAATGACTCTCAAGAGCATCATCCTCCAGGTACAAATCATTTTGTCAATGTGTCATATTTTGTAGCAATATTAGTCAGTCGCAATGGCCACGTATTCCAACGTACCCAGATTTCATCCTCTGCTATAGAACACACAATATGTCGAAGTACACACTCAAGTTAATGCCGTTCACTGTCGTTGATTCGCTTAGCCTCAACACGATATGCGGAATTGCGCTTGATCAGTCTGAAAATCCAGAGGTACTCGACTCTTGTTGTCAAACTTCGTTCTGATGTTAAAAACGATAACTATATTAGATTGTGATGCAATGCCTTTGCGTATTTGGACTGAATGTCCCCGGGGCAACATGTATGACTGACGGGGGAAGTGCGCATCCCAGTAAGATCATTTTGCTCGAATTTATACTTAAAGGAATCAAATATACAATAGATGTGGCCATTGAGTGCAACATGGTTCACGTGATCTGCACGAAATACTTTGAAAAGGAAATTGTGTCCAACTGCACCGGACTTGACCGCTTGGCGGCGGACTACAGGCGAAAGTGCTTCGCATTGATATTCGACAGTATGACACCAGATGACTGCGACCGGCCTCTCTCCCTCGCAGTGGACACGTTTGCCCGGTCGGACAGGACTTGCAACAGTATTTAAAGTATTTGGAGCCACCGTAGTAAAGTCTGTTACGCCTATGCAGGTACAATTATAAAGAAATCTTTACTCTCAAGTTTCAGCTAGGTTCGATATTCACCTTGCTCGACGTCACCGAGGCTCGCCACCACGTCGAATTGAACCCCACGGGAGCATTTCCTACCTGCAACTGCTACGATTTTCTGTCGTCGATGATTCCATGGGTCGTTTGCCATGTATTTATTTCAATATTTCAATATTTTTTGTTGTCGATGATTAATGAGTTGTTAAATTAGGTATTTTCTCCACTTGACAAGCCGCTATTTGCAGTCAACAATTTGGCTCCACAGTGGAGACTGTCGTGTCACCCGCGATATTTGGAGGCATTGAAGCAACTAAATGTGACCGCGCCCTTGCCGTTGACGATGCGTTGCAATTGAGTCCACCAAGTGCTGCCCCATCCACTTCACCCAATGATTAGATGTCTACAAGAAGGTGCACGTCCCCACCAGTGGCGCCATACGAATTATAAAATTCCGAAACGCGTGCATCAGGATTGAGCACCAAGTTGCAGGTCCAGTCTGCAGTAGACACTGGCAGTACGTGGAATGCCCCGGCCTACTTGCTCTGCGATCCGAAGTTGGAATGGTTCTTCCGTCGCATTCATGGATTCTAGCAGTCAAAGACACTCTCAACAGGGCTTGGCTGTAAGTATCGTTGTAGTGCAGGCTGCACACTTTTTCCAACCACAACACACAAAATGGGCCGCAATACCTCTTCAAATTTATGCGTATTCACGATTTCTAGAGGGGTGGGGTTGAACATTTCATTCTACACCAACTCTGACAGTGCCATTGGTTAAAATGGTGCAAACACCTTGGCAAACAATTTACGAGTCCAAATGGTGCCTTTCAATTGGTCAACAGAAATTTCGGCTGTTTTGCACGTCAGTAATATATTTGTACAGGTTTCGACCAACGATTCAAATGCAGGAAAATCCTATTCAAGCCAATGAAACTTATGCATTCATAATGCACTTTGATTGGACAAATTCTGACAAAATAAATATGGAGTGTACTTGATGTTTGTATGCAGAAACATGCACAATTGATTAATAATTTCCAGTCAGAGTTTCGAGAATCGAGAGCTAAAACACTAAAATCGCGTTTTCTCGGCTCACAGATCGATCCAGAGCCCAGGGACCTCATTTTTGGAGTCCTAGCGAGAAGGTACTTTGGCCATGAGGCGAAGGCACAGAGTATGGACAGCCCATTAGTCCATATAGGTGCGTATTCGATTACTCAATCATTCGTTTACAGCATCTTCAGTTTCACGCGCTTGGGCATCCGTTCGAGCGTAGGCAGCAGCTTCTGGAAGCGGACTAACATCTCGAACGCAGACGACCAACGTGTGGCTTGGAGGAGCCTCGACTTCAACGATGTCAGCTTCTTTAACTCCGCCGCATTGTTGAGTGCCTTGCATGACAACATGACCTTTTGGACTTTCGCCAGCAGGTCAGCAAACTCGCCTTCCATGAGGTCTTGTTGAACCGATGCGATGCACTTCCGAGCAGAGGTACCTTCATGTCTGTCGTCATCTTCTTGTTGACAGAGCAATTCTCCGCGACAATGAAGGTGATGCAGAGGAGGTAGAGTGCTTTAACTTGGGCAGTGAACGTGCTTGTCCGTGGTGTGCGACACGACTTCATCGGTTTCAGAGCCCAGTTAGAGTTCATCGACCCCTTGGACATCGGCGAGGCTCGTGTCTTTGATGAGATAAATCATCGAGAGCAGGACCTCTTTTCCATCGCCCGCCTTCACGTAGACAGCAAACAGTGCAATGAAATGTCACTCATGTGTGTCCATCCATCGAGGACCACTCCGAACTTGTCCGGCAGTTCCTTCATGATGTCTTCGACGACTGAGGCGCGCAGCAGATGCATGTAGTGCTTGACTTGATTGTGCGATAGTCCCTTGAAGGAGGCGTACTCATGGGTGCGCTCCTTTTCAAACCAGCTGAAAGGCAGATCGTCGCTGATAGTCCAATCGAGAGTCTTGAAGACGACTTCACTCTTGGTGTTCACGAACGCTGATGGGATGAGGTGCGCGTGGAGGCCGCCGTAGGTTGACTGAGGCATAGTCTTCTGCCTAGTAGCAGTGTGATTGTACGTCACATGGGAGCGAACGTTGCTCTTCCCAGAAGATTTTTAACCTGAACAGTGCCCTTGGGAGTCAGAGGACAAAAGCATCACTTGAATGTCATGGCGCTGGAAACGGGGTCTACACGATCGGGGGACCAAGGAAAACGTCCACGATTTCGTTCGTGGTCCAAGACTCACGCGTGGGCTGGGGTCGAAGGACTTGCTGACGTGTTCCAGACATTTGGTATTTGTGTTGCGTGGATGTTGCGAGCTCTTTCGAGTCCCCAATGTGATAGAAGATTGGAACATGTGAGCCAGCCTAAGAATTGACCAGTCATATTTTAGGGTGCTCATAAATTGTTCAATCAGGTTTATTGGATTCGGAAAACCAAAATTATTGCAATATTTCTTCAGTAAAATAACAAGCAATAATTCTCTGAAACCAATAACTATGGCAATATTACTTGGGGTCCAATAAAATAACTAAAATAATTCTGGGGAAAACAATAACCATTGCAATATACTTCGCACTTTCAATAAATAGTTTTATTGTTCAGGCACAATATAATAAAATATTTATTTAAATACATTTAAATAATTGTTTTCACAATATATTTTTGACAATCGCTGATAACAACCCTCGCACAAAGTTGTCAACAAGGCTGATTCGCCTCTTAAGCAAACAATCCAAATCAAAGACTTCTTAGTGTTTGCAAGCGCTCGTGCAAGTCCCACGATAAAATCAGCTATGGACGTACTAGTAATTGACAAGTGCAACAAGCAGCCATCAACAAAGCCATCAACAATTCACGTACAGTACCTCTACATGCACGAAACAAATCATGGATAAACCGGGAAATCGAAACATGTATGCATTGCCGACTTCGGCTATCGTCGGGCGATGTGAATGATCCATGCATTCAACCAAGTAATAGCATTAACTCAACACTCAATATCATTTACGTGTTGTAAGAGACAACGTACCATTGTGTGTAAGACCCCACTTGACGCCAACGGAAGGTTGTGCGTTTTTTCTTATTTGCCTTGGGGCCATGGACTTTGTTGGGCAATGATGTGACAGTGACCAAAAGTCATTTATCCGGATGGTTATCCGTGTGCGCCGAAAAGTGGAAACCTCAGTGATGATAGGCATCACAGCAAAGCGGCGGTGGCGGACTGTGAAGAGTATCGCAGTGAGTGGTATCGGACAGTGAAGTGAAGCGACGGTTGAAATATTGTAGTGTGGTGTGGTTGACGGTAGCGGCTGTGGGCATCGAAGTGCGCAGTATGGTGGCGGCGGTGGACGGTGGAGCGCAGCCGCGAATGTGTACAGTACATGACGACGTCGTTGTATCGGCTGATAAGGCAGGTACTGGTGGTCGTGTGGCTGAACATGAGAGTCTCGTAGGTTGAAATTTGCACCACTTACTCTCATAAGTCCTTTTACACCAATCATGCAATCCTAAAGGGAACGACGTTGAATAAGGCCGCGTCAAATTAACTCACCGGATAACCAATCATAATCCAGAGTTTTTAATTATACGATTTCATTGGCTGAAAATATTTGGCGGCAATTTTAAATAGATTAATGGCTATCTACCTCCACAAACCAATCGCCTCCCCAAATGGCTTGGGATGGTGGGTGCATATGCAGCCGAAAGGTGTTGTTCACCGTACGAGACCTACGATCGCACAGAAGTTGCACGACGTGGCCATAGCGACTGACACGAGTGTGAGCCATGCAGCCAATGTCCTCGGATACGGCGAACTGACCTTGCGACGTTGGGTTCAGCAGCAGACCATGCTCCAGCAGTCCCGCTCGGGGCAATTTCAATGACTAGACCTCTTGTTCAGTGACTGAGTTGAGAACGAGAACGTGCTCATTGCCAATTTGCGTTGTAAACGACCGTAACGATAGTGACTGGCCTATATTCTGACTTTTTGTCTGTGATTGGCGTAATTACTTGGTAGACATTTGAATTGATCATTTGCTCGATCTTTTTGTACCATGTGTTTTTACTGACATCACTTTCAAAAGTAACAAACAACGGCTTGGCACATAGCTCAACGGTTAGAGCGACGGCATCAAAGCGATAGAGGCGGGGACCCTGGGTTCAATCCCGGGTAGTGGCAAGCTTTTTTCCCGAATTGAAAAAGTTATTCTATTTTTTATGAATGATCGCAACCATTAAAAAAAATTGTCGAATCTATAACTAGACACCACTTGACCAACGCCGGTCGATTTGAGGCGAAACTGCGTCAAGTCGTCTCGCGCGTCGAGCTCGATATTGGACTTGATTTCGACACCGCTTCCTTGTCATTTCAGCAGACATACTGCTGTACCTAGCCAGCACACCATGGTAGTAGATACCATCCGCCCCACGCAGGGGTATCCACGACACGTGCGCATTGGTCAAAGCACAGCAAAACACGCGATACTCGATCAACTTGGACTCGTAGGTGGTGGACATAATTCTCCAGAGACTGCACTGTCCAAAGTAATTCTCCTCCAGGACACGATCAGAGGACACCCTGCTGTTGCGCTCGAGTTCACGCGGGGTACGAAACCCACCTTGCGGTCGTCGCTTCGGCTGGACGGATCGAAACTCATGCTGGATTCCTTGGTGTCCCATATCGACCAAGACACTCCATGTGGTAGGCCAACGATCCACTTCCAGGACGCGGTGAACCATCTTCTCGAATGTTGGTGCTTTCATTCGAAAATCCAAAGCATGTTTGTACCATGCGTTGTAGTGCTTGAGGACAACCAGCGTCATGAAGAACGCATCCTTGGACGACACCGGTGATTTGCGTCCTCGCCCCAGTGTCCAAGCAGGGACCACGACGGACTCAACGATCGCCCAGATCGTTTCGAATTCGGGTTGAGTCAGATTTATCATGGTGGCGAGGGCAGCGTTGCCACCCTGCAAGTGGAAACGATCCACGATGGGTGTCGGCGAATCATAAGCGACTTGCTGAGCATAGTCATGGTAGACTTGACTCATCTCCTCCATGTTGAGGTTTTCGTCGTCGATGTCGCGTTGAAGGCGGTCAAGTACAGCGTTGGGGTCGATTTGGGGCGTTGGGTACAAAAGCGTTGTGATATATGGACGTCGTGGTAGTGTAGTGCAGAATCGTATACAGTTATGCAGAGGCATGTCATATACGATGTAACTTCTGCATCCTTGAGCCATATTGCAATTCATAAGATGAATTCTTCAGTGACTCAATGACGTAGCATTTGCCCAATCTCTACCATGTTTTCAAAGTAAATACGGGATCACCTACACAAATCAATACGATTTAATTGCCCGTCATTATTTTCAACTTTCGTAACTGAAAAAAAATTGCGAAAATGAACAAGAGGTCTACTGGTACCCTTATTTTGAGAATAATTCCCTCATTAAAACAGTTCCACTGTTGTTTTGACCCGAAATACTGTTTCAATGAGGGAATTATTACATCCGGATACACCTTTTCTCTGTAACCTGGGACTCCGTCCTACCCCCGGAGTACGTACTACTTACTGCGTATTAATGACGGTTAAGTATCAAGCGTACGAGAGACAGTTGTGTTCTCGACGTGGTGTCGATAAGGAATGCACAGTCGACGGACGCAGCCGGTCACTCGCATTCAACTTTACATACCTCTGGGGATTTAATATACTGTCAGAACTTTCGGAGTAGAGACCACTACCCTCTCCATCGTTAAGAGCAGAATACACTTAACGTTACCAGTGTAGTACTTCTCTCAGGGGGATTCTGTTCGTTACGCAGAGGGGATACTCTTAGCGTGAAATTTGTTACCGGTGCTGTATGTCTCCATTCAAGACTGCGAAGTCAATAATGCGAGATTGTAACCAATCACATGAGCGCGTGCAACTTGATTGGTTAAAATATATTTCGCCGAAAATGCCTCCTACAAATTCCGATCACAACTGGCAAAACTGATTTCGTAGGGAAAATGTTCCTACTTTTACTCTTACTTGAAGTTACGTGCTGAAGTAGTCCATTTCGCCTATATATTTCCTATACGACAATCCGATTGGACGAGGCGGTTGTCGCAGCAGCAACATATCACTAACATTTAACATGTACGGCTTTCTATTGGTTGAAATACTGCCGAGACACGAAACGGTGTCGAGAAGCATAAGTAAAACGGCACGAACCAGCAGGAGCACACACTGTTGTGGTCGGTGGCAGTCAGCCGGCGCCCCACCATGATGCATGGGGACCAATGGTGAGATCTCTTTCGTAGCCCATTCCACACAATAACGTTTGCGACTTTTAAGACGTACGGATGCGGCTAAGAGTAATGGTTGCGCTTTAGGTAGGTCCTGATTAAACATTACTGTAGCTACGCCAACACCACCTTACCTGCAGTAGTGATTCCAATTGCCCCTCATTTACTGTTAAGCATCCCGGATGCTTGTAAACAGAGGTTGGGAAAATACTATTTTTTACTTATTCCTGTCGAAAATGAATAATGAAACGTATTTTTTTCAACCCACGAAGAGAATTACTTATTCTTTCTATACCTGCGGTGAATAACTTATTCGGCGAGAGTAGTGGGGTGAATAATTTATTGAATAATTCTTCAAAACCCACAGAGAATCAATGCACCTAGTTTTCATCCAATGAAGTTGCCAAAATCCTCAGAAAACCCAAACCCTAGCAAGTATACGTTTGTAGAGAATCACACGCTTTTTTGCCATGCGCTGATTGGCTCAATAACTATTTCTTCTCAGTGATTGGGTATAAAAAAGATTGTTTTTTCGAGCATTTCCATACAAAATTACAATTAACATTGTTTTAAATTTTCAGCTTCTTCATGATGGCATGTACAGCACACAGCAGGTCCTCATAGTCGGCTAGCAAATCACCGACGAACAAATTGAACCGATGAGACGCACAACCCACCATAGGGAAATAAAAAAGAAAAGTACTCCAAATAGGATAAAACCTACTTTTAAAGCACATCTACTTCTCAAGGAATTTGGACATCATGGCCACCATGATTTGGTCCATCTTAGCTTGACGCGTTTCGCGTTGGATATCCATTGCTTCTAGTCGCTCCAGGCGTTTAGCTTCTCGCTCATCACGTTCAGCAGCAAGTTGCATTTGATATTGGCGGTACTCTAGCTCCATCGCTTGCTGTCGCTCTTGCATGGCTGCTAGGACTCCAAACGTGTGTTTTCGCGCGTCACGCTGCTCAAACACCAAACGACGCTTGATGGCTTCGTTTTCCGCGCTATCAGCCAGGATTTCGTCAATTCGACGACGGCGTTGGGCCGTTTGGCTCATGGTCTGCTCGCTGTTCGCTAACTGACCGATCGTCGCAAGTTCTGTAGGGTCCAAGCCAGTCCGTGGCGTTGCAAAAAGAGTAAAAGGTGAAAATACCGGTGTCGGGGCTGATGGAGGGTCGGAGCTGCCGTCGCTGTCGTTGTTGACATCGTTTTCATTGTCCTCGTTTTCGTCACCAGATCCCATATCGAGAACGGACATCCGAGCCTCCATGGCGCGGTTGATTCGTTTGGCGCGTTTTACGTCCTCTGGACAGTCGGGGTCGCCGGTTGATTTCTTGGAGTTGCGGAGGGACTTGAACTTCCGACGCATACTCTCCGTGTCGCGTACAACCCAGACGCTGTTTTGCTCAATCCGCGAATTATAATCCGCCTGCACATCATCCCATTGGTTTGATCCAAGTCGTAGATGCGATTCGATGCAGTCCAACATCGACATCACTTCTGGATTGCTCCATCCCTTCCCACGCCCTTTCCCTTTCGGCGCCATGTTGAAATTCAAATGCCAGAATTGTGTCTGTCGTCCATCAATCGTCGCAAATTCTAACCAATAAAGGGTCCCAAAAAAGTGAAAACTGTGACAATTTCTAAGCACAGGTAAGACAGCATGGTCAATAATAATCGACTTGTGTACGGATAATTTTAAGTCAGAAGCGGCTCAAATATACTTTGTGACAGTTTCTGAAGTCCCCCACTGTACTATTATACGTATAGATAAAATGGCCGCTGCGACAAATATATCCGACAACTATCTGATTGGTTAAAAGTAGAAGCCTATTGGCTTTCATTGGCAGATGTCTCTTCAATGTCAATACAATGACCAAGTAAAGTATCTTGGTTTTTTCGAATGTATCGACGTACATAGTCCTGTTTGCTGGCGGGGGCTAAAGGACGTACTATTATAGTACGTTCAATATTACGTGGAGGAATTACCTTGGTTACTTTGCGCTACACAAGCCACTCATCAGGCATGCTTACCTCGTTCCTTGCTCGCCAACGACAACGAAGTACAGTAAACACTCCGTGGACATCGTAGCGAGCGTGACCATTCACTGTAAAGAACCCTACCGCTGGAGTACATGTGCACTTCTAGATTTACATTTATAACTCACTGGTGCACGAGTTTGCCACCTTAGAATAAGTTTGTGAGCTCGCAATTACTTCCCATCGTCTCAATCAACTCTGTGATGAGTGTTTTGAGATACCTGTGAGGTCTCTCGCAGCAATATAAGTGATGTTAGTAGTTGTAGTATTGAAAATATGAGTATTTAGTGTTGTGGTGGAAGGGGGCACACATTGAAGGGAGGTCGCAGTTAGTGTTATAAGCATCCCCACTGTGCAGATGCTAGCAGTGGGGATGCTCAGAGGTTGGGAAAGAGTTATTTTTATTGGAATATATTAATTTAAAAGTATAAATAAATTATTCTGAAATCCTTTCAAAAGAATAAATAATTCGTTTGCACTTCGAGAGAGAATAAGTATTGACCTGGACCTCTATAAAAAAATAAGTATTGAGTTTTGGCTAACCTCCAGTCAATTCAAAGTGCTGTAAACAAAGACCAATCATTTCCGTGCAAATCGAATGCAACCACAGCCATTAACTTCACACATAGTTACAATGAAACCAAACAAACACAATTCATTTTGATGACCAACGACAACAACCAACCATCGCCCCTTGGTGGAAAACAACTCGCCGAGCTGTACTTTACACGTACCTCACCTGAATCGACGCTTTGGCTTTGTAAATGTGGGAAGTGCCGCACACAAAACGGCACTGGGTACACGAATTTGACGCCGCACATTGAGCGCGAACACCCCGGGTACCTGAACTATGACGCCACAGCCCCGATTTCGGAGCAGAATCTGTTCATGCCCCTGTTCGCGCGCAGTGTGCGGAACGTGTACGGCTGGCTGACCTGTATTACGCCGTCACTGTTGCCCTTCAACTTTTGTGAAAACGACATGGCTCGCCGCTACTCGAACCTTGGCCCCATCAGCAACAAGACGCTCATGAAATGGATGCACCATATGTGTCGTTGGTTGGAAGCGAAGCTAAAGTAGACCCTGCCCGAGTCGTTTGCGTGTGTATTTGATGCCTGGACAAGTGGGTCGACGCATTATGTGGCGGTCTTTGCGTCGTTCCCAAGTGATTCGTTCGTGGATACGAGAAGGTGTTGCTCGCATTGTCGCCTATGAACGACGAAGATTCATTGAGTGCTGCAGCCTTCCTGGATTTTTTTGACTTTGTCCTCCATGTGTACGGCAAACGGCGCCGAAATGTGTTGGCACTTATTAGGATATGTATGCCTAATTCATTGTGTTACGAATTTGACTAATGCCGGTGCGTCGCACACGGAAATTGTACAACTCGAAGATGTTGTCCTAGCGCATTTGTCGCTGCTCAAGGTTGTACGGCAATGGCAATAAAAGTTGTCGATAAACTTGCTCCACAGCGCCCATACCCCATTCTGCGGCTTGTCGCAGAGCAGTGATGGTGTTGCTCATAAGCAACAAACCCTAGCGACATGCCGGTGATGCTCGCTCGAGGTCTCCGTCCTTCAGCAGTGTGCGAATTTTGCCGATCAAACCATCGCTGACCGGGAACGCCGAATCCGCCACAACACCGTGGCCATCCTCAGTAAACCTTCGGTGACGCAGCTTCATCTGTAAACGAAGGCTTGTGTCACCATCATTCCAACTACCGACGAAGTTGTGGCGACACCAAACAATCGTCCCGTCGACACCGAACAACAGGGTCCCAGTAACGAAGGTGCAGTGCAACCAGCCATTGTACATCGCATTCTGCAGGTCAGCCGATGAGGGCTTGCGCACTTTGTAGTTCTTGCCATCTAAAAAGCCCCACACACCACGCACAAGGCTCTCTCTGGCACGGACTTTGATGGCCCATTTGCGTTGGAGTTGCTTGCTTGGGTATCGGACTTGAGCATCACGGAGGCAGCGCAGTGCTTTTGCAAGGGCTTATTCCGCCTTCGCCATGTAGCGGACAGCGTGGACGGAGGTATGCCAAACACTTCACAGAGGGTCTTGGGTTCACAAGCAGCGGTGTAAAAGTGCAGCACCAGGGCTAACGCTTGGTGTTTAAAGGGCAGCTTGGGTGGTCTCCCTGCTTTTCCAAAGCCGGATTTGATCTGGTAGTGCTTGGAGAACTCGCGCAAGACGTCGTCGAAGTCGTTGGGTGCGATTGAGACGGTGGCGATGTATGCGCTTGGGATCTGGGCTGTGTATATCGCCATGCGCTGTGGAGAGGAGACGTGAGAGATTCACATTTAAGATAGTGTCTCTCTTTTATTGTGAGCTGTGCTCGATATAACCTCATTGTATCCGCGAGGGAGGTGTCGATATCGTCGTCGTCATCCATGTGCATCCACCACCGCATCAAGAGCGTCATTTTTTGCCGCTCAGCCACCATTCCATATATCTGTAAACGGTATCCGGGTAAAATACGACACTGTCGGCACAAACTTGTTGTGTTGTGGTTGGAAAACGTAATGCAACCTGCACTACAACGATTCTTACAGCCAATCCCTGTTGAGAGTGTTTTTGATTGGCTAGAATTCATGAATGCGACGGAAGAACCATTCCAACTTCAGGTCACATTGCAAGTCGGCCGAGTCATTCCACGTCCTGCCAGTGTCTACTGTGCCCTGGACCATCTACAAGCACAAGCAAACAC